CGACCTTTGGAAAAACTGAATTGACTATTGTGAATTAAATTATTTAAATTGAAATAACTAACAAGTTGCATAAGGATTATTTTATCAAAAATTTTACTGAGCGCTGGGAGTATGGATATAGGTCTATAATTTATTGGGTCAGTCCTGTCTCACGATTTAAAATAGGTATGATTTTACTAATTTTCATTATATTAGGAAATGTACCATCATTATTAAAAATAAAAGCAAGAGACGGCGCAATAATTTCCATTATACTATCCAGTATTTTAACAGATATATCCCATAGATCCTCTGTTTTCTTTTTTTTAGCTGTTTGAATATTTTGCTTAGCTGTTTATATATAAACCTTCCTATAGAATCACTCTAACTATTAAACAAAAACGGTTCAAAATCCAATGCGCAGTTTTAAAGATTTAAGAATACATAGGGACGGACAGACAGCGACAGATTGAAATAAAAGTAGCCTAAGTTACTTCATATTACATCAGCTACTGGCCAAAACAAGTCCCGTTAAAGTCGGTCCAGCCATTTCAGAGATTAGCCTCTACCAAAAATATGTTATTTTGGTGTATGTACCGTATTTATATTCATATGCAAGTAGTAAAATACGGTTATTTCAATATTACAAACAGACAGTCCAATTTTATTTATATGTATAAATAACTGAAAAGGTAGTAAATATATACATTATTTGTATATTTATATGGTTATTTCTATATATTTCTATTAATATTTATAATTTTTTTACAGGTCGCGGTTTGCAGTCGCGAGTCAGGTCGGCTACATGGTTCTCCAATTATTAAATTGAGAAATAGATATATTTTTCCAAACAAAAGACGGATGATCCGCGTGAAAGATGATGATAACGCGTAAAACTAGAGTGCTGCCGAATATAAGAGATACTAGGGATCAATGGAGGAGGAAAATATACTGGGCCGATAATATTAGCAGATCCTGATATTTACCTTTTTATAGATCAAACTAACTTTTTCCCGCGTTAATTTATCATCTTAAGGGTGGAATTTATCAAAATCCTTTCTTAAGGGATTGCTACGTCATAGTAGCTTTATGCATGCAAAGACTCAGGTCGATCGGTTTGAAATTAACAAAGTTTCATACAAACTTTCATCCCCTATTTTATCCTCTTGGGGGTAGAATTAATCAAAATCCTTTCTTAGTGGATGCCTACGTCATAACAACTACCTGCATGCCAAATTCCAGCCCGATCCGTCCAGTGGTTTGGGCTGTGCGTTGATAGATCACTATGTCAGTCACCTTTGAGTTATATATATATATATATATATATATATTCAATAAATTAAAGTAAACAATATGACATAATATGTCATAATATGACGTAACATATGAACCATGCCATTTCGTAGCAGTGGAATATAATTCAGACATTAAAATATTCAATAGGCACTTCATTTATTAATTCACAATTTAACTTCGCGCTGCTTTTAGCTCAAAGCGTTTTCGCACTCAAATTAAAATCGGACATTTCAAGATTTCACAAGAAAAATTCTTGCATTCAGTCCAAAAACCGTCGCTCATATTTATTTCCGTAACAAAGAATCGGAATTGGCAACAAAAGGAGATTTTATCTCGCCTTATCACGAGAGAACCTCGGGACAAAAATTAATTGGTTTGTATGGCGCTCTTTGAAGCGTTAAAAGCACATCATTCATTCACTCGTCCACGAATAACCGGGAAAAAGGAACGAATGGATACAAACTGGCTACTCGCGAACCAGCGTGCCACCGTGGCGCGCATTAATCTTAACAGGGTCGCTGTTAGAAATACAAGGCAAATTTAATTCTCACAAATGTTACTAGATGGCGCTAGTATAAAAGTAAAACACGCTAACGTTTCGTTTTTGTCAAAACAGATAAGGTATTTTCATGTTTGTATTAATTGTCTCCACAACGGCGCCCTCGGGCGCCCCTCCGATCAATCCCCCGTCCAATTCAAACGGGGATCGAAATTACGACGGCCTGAGCCGAGGTTCGAACTCCTAGGGGTGCCCTCAGACTAAAGTCGTATCCTTCACAGGCAGGAGTTGGCCTTCAACCGCTTCATAAGTCCTTCCGGGTTTGGAGTGCCATCTGCACTCTCCCCCTATCGCTCGGTGAAGCTGTAAAGATCAGCTGCGGCCAGCAGCATTAGAGTAGTCCGAAAAAAAAAATGTATTAATTGTCCCTGCGATCAATCCATTACTAAGTCCTTAGCCAAGGTTCGAACTCCCATCGTTGCCTTTAACCGCTCGTTTTGGCTAAAACAGTTAAGGTGTTGTCATATTTGTGCTAATTGCCCCTCCGATCGATCCCCCCGTACAATGCAAACGGGAATCAAAATTACGACGGCCTGAGCCAGGGTCCGATTCCCTAGCGGTATCATCAGACTAAAGTCGTATGCGTCAGACGAGAGTTGGCCTTCAGCTGCTCCATAAGTACTTCCGCGGGTTTGTAGTGTCATCTGCACTCTCCCCCTATCGCCCGGTGAAGCTGAAAAGTCCAGTTGTGGACAACAGCATTAGAGTAGTCCAAAAAAATGTATTAATTGTAGAGTTTTGAACGGTTCTATCGACCTGTGTCGGACTATAAACGACCAATAAACCACACATATGTACACAAGTAAAGTGTTTGGTTTACAGTCTTCAGTTCAATCATATTTACTGAGCAAGGCCTATTACTCACTAAACGATTACTTGAATGACGAGCGTGCATGGCAATAGTTTTCATGTTCGGGATTTTCATTTAATGTTAGACATAGACACCTATATATATACCTATGCATTGTAAATAAACTGGCTTTTAAAAAAAAGTAATTCAATTGAGTTTCTTGCCAGTTCTTCTCAATTGGATCTATATACCGAACTGGACGGTAGGGAAAAAAATTATAATGTAAAAATTTGACGTTCATAAGCGGCTAAAATGTCCTACATGAATAAATGATTTTTGAATTTGAATTTGAATTGAACAGTACCCTTAGGACCTCAAGGTTTTTAGCCGGCTTAAGAGATTTATTACGAGGATATTTTTATGACTGATAATGGCATGATGCACCAACCTGCGTTAACAGCTTATGCTGGCGAGGCATCAACGGAGAATGATAAGATGAATATGAGGTCAGGTCTGTTAGCCCATAGTGGCAAATGGCAATTTACCACGATGGTTTCCAGGGGAACCACGCGGAGGTCATGATATAGTAAATTGCTAGCAATATAATTATTACAGAAGATACCTAAATATTGTACATTGTAAATAAAATGGCATTAAAAAAATAAAGTAATTCAATTGAGTTTCTTGCCAGTTCTTCTCAATTGGACTATATATATACTGACCTGGACAGTAGGGAAAAATTATAACAAAAAATTTTGCGTTCATAAACGGCTAAAATGTCCTACATTAATAAATGATTTTTTAATTTTGAATTAGTCCATATTAGTAAGAATCACCTTCACCCTCCAAGGGGCATATTGTAATAATATATACTTAAGTAACTTAACTTAACGAGGCTTCGATTCCTCGCACAGTGCAAAGATTTGTATTCATGAGTATGTTTGTTTGTATTGGTCTGGGTGTTTTCTGGTATGTATATATACATAGTAGTATATATACATAGAAAAACCCAGATTTTCTGTATATATATATATATATACTACGTATATATTTATAAAGAATATATATAAGTATTTATATCAGTATCCATAGTACCCATAACACAAGCTCTGCTAACAGTAGAACTAGATGGCGCTGTGGTAATTGTCCACGATTATTTATTTAATTCATGCTTACCCTATAGTAGTACAATGTTGGTACATAGATAATTATATTGTACACAGTTATTTGCGAGAATCAAACCTGGTAATTAACAAATGCAAACCTATACACTGTCAATTAACTGGAATGCACTCGTGGAAATATATGTTTGTATTTATTTGCACGCGTTACGATATTCAGACTTCATTACCATGGAATGTATGTTTATTTAAATACTAGCTATTCCCCGCGACTTTGTCCGCGTGGAATTTAACTTTCGTTTTCTAAAATAAAAGTAGCCTGTGTTACTTCTTATTACATCAGCTATCTGCCAAAAAAGTCCCGTCAAAATCGGTCCAGCCATTTCAAAGATTAGCCGGAACAAACAGACCGACAGACAGGCAGACAAAAATATTTAAAAATGTTATTTTGTGTATGTACCGTATATTATATTCATATGCATGTAGTAAAAAACGGTTGTTTCAATATTACAAACAGACACTCTAATTTTATTTATATGCATAAATGATAGAATAAACAATTGGTTATTGGATGTTTTGTTTACATATCAATAACTGTATAAAATAACATTACGTTCTTTATCTATACATATAAATAAAATTGGAGTGTCTGTTTGTAATAATCGATATTGTAGAAAAATCCGATATTTTAAAAAGATATTAAAAGAATGTAGTTTTTGTTTAGTACTAATGAAGTACCCAGTGTAAAAAAAAATACAAATATTGTAAATAGCGCCATCTAGTATTTATAGACCGCACTAAGTTGTTTATCGTAAGATAACCGTTACCCCCGCTTCTCTTCCTACTACGCTGACTTCGGTCTATAAATACGGAGGTCGGTAGTCGAATAATCCTCTTTCGTTGGGTGAGCCGCGGCATTCAGTCGACGAGCGCAGAGCGTGCCGGTTGTGTTTTGGATACTAAAGTGAATTGTATTAGAAATGGGTTTATCCCGGTCTTAGTTGGGCCTGGGGGGAAGCTGCAAGTAGTGAAGGTGAGTGTTAATGCATTCTAAAAGGGCCTTTTAAACCTACACCCGTGTCACAAGTCACGGGCGCTACTTGGGGTTTCCCTTGCGGTAGCTGGCTTCAAAGCCTAAGTCGTTACCATTAATTAGTGTTTCTTACACTTCGAATAGTCGCAGCTTCATATATTATTTGTGTATAGCATGCGCTATTAACTGTATATATGTATATATTGATAAAGAGTTACTCACCTAAGTCCAGGAACGTCAGTGACTGGTACACCATCTTCTGTCATCCAGGATATAGTTGGCAGAGGAGACCCGTGTGCAGCACACGACACCTTAGCTCCGGAGCTGTTAGAGAACGACAACCGAGGTGGTGGCTCCATGAGGAAGATCAGCTGGGCACACGCAGGCGAAACTGTAACAAAAATATTGTTAAATATTAAACTTTTATATAATAATAATAATATAGAAAACCAGCAAAATCTGAGAAAATCTTGTGTAAAAAATAATACTAATCTCAGGACAATTCACACAGCGCCATCTAGACCCAAGTTAAGCTAGCTAAAGCCTGTGTTATGGGTACTAGACAACTGACACAAACACATAGATATTTTTTTTCGTAAATACATACATATTATACATAGACAATACCCAGACAGATACAAACAATCATACTCATGAATACAAGTGTTTGTGCCGTACGAGGAATCGAACCCGCGACCGGATTATGGATGCGACCGATTACCTACAACATAACACCCAAAAAAAATGTTTTTTATAAAGACATTATATCTAATTGAAAGACGTTTGTTTCGTAGGTTGAAGTAATAAATATATAAACATTGTAAGTCCGTCTGTTTAATAAAATTGTATCAATGTCTGACATTATGACGAAACAAGTCCTTATGAGTGTGGCTCATAAATATTTCTCGTGTTAACGCCGACACAGCAAGGACAAAGTGGCCCGGGGGACAAACGACTCAGCCGGAAAATTCCGAGTCAACTCCCTTAACAAATTAATGTATGGTGTTACGTCGTCCAACGAATAAGTCACTGCCATACAGCCTCTATACTCTACTTTATACACGGTGAATTTCATAGTTTTTACGGTAAATATTGAGGAGCGGTAATAAATGGTCTCTTATGAAAAAATAAATAGAAATATTTAATATAGATAGATAGATAACTGATTTATTGTCAACATAATACAAATAATACAAATTTATTTACAACTAGTTGCACCCGCGACTTCGTCCGCGTGGAATTTAAATTTATTTTTCTAAAATAAAAGTAGCCTAAGTTACTCCCTATTACATCAGCTACCTGCAAATAAAAGTCCCGTTAAAATCGGTCCAGCCATATCAGAGATTAGCCGGAACAAACAGACAGACAAAAATTTTAAAAAGTGATTTATTGGTGTATATACCGTATTCATATTCATATGCATGTAGTAAAAAACGGTTATATCAATATTACAAACACACTTCAATTTTATTTATATGTATAGATAATACACAAAATAAAAAATAAATAATAATATAGAAGTTGGCAATAGGAGCTGCCTCAGAGGCTGTTGAGGCTGTTGCTGATATAAGCACAGCCTCAATGAGGTGCACCTATACAGCGCTGGTTTTCAGGCAGCCCCCATTACTCATAAAAACCAATGCGGGTTTTTTTACTACACACAGATACATACAATTTAAACACAAAAAAAATATATTAAATAAGATCTAGGATACACAAATATAAATATATATAAAATGAATTACAATATTCAATGCTCACAAAAACCAAAATCAGTTACAATAACAGTATCAAAAGGAAAAAAAATAGTTTAATCGAATTAGGTGTTACTTTGCGGTCCATTTCACTACTTGATTTACTTGCGGTCCATTTCACTACATGATTTACTTGCGGTCCATTTCACTACTTGATATACTTGCGGTCCATTTCACTACATGATTTACTTGCGGTCCATTTCACTACTTGATATACTTGCGGTCCATTTCACTATATGATTTACTTGCGGTCCATTTCACTACATGATTTACTTGCAGTCCATTTCACTACTTGATATACTTGCGGTCCATTTCACTACATAATTTACTTGCGGTCCATTTCACTACTTGATATACTTGCGGTCCATTTCACTACATGATTTACTTGCGGTCCATTTCACTACATGATTAACTTGCGGTCCATTTCACTACTTGATATACTTGCGGTCCATTTCACTACATGATTTACTTGCAGTCCATTTCACTACTTGATTTACTTGCGATCCATTTCACTACATGATTTACGTGCGGTCCATTTCACTACTTGATATACTTGCGGTCCATTTCACTACATGATTTACTTGCGGTCCATTTCACTACTTGATATACTTGCGGTCCATTTCACTATATGATATACTTGCGGTCCATTTCACTACTTGATTTACTCTCGGTCCATTTCACCACTTGATTTACTTGCAGTACATTTCACTACTTGATTTACTTGCGGACTATTTCACTATTTGATTTACTTGCGGTCCATTTCACTACTTGATTTACTTGCGGTCCATTTCACTACTTGATTTACTTGCGGTCCATTTCACTACTTGATTTACTTGCGGTCCATTTCACTACTTGATTTACTTGCGGTCCATTTAACTACTTGATTTACTTGCGGTCCATTTCACTATTTGTTTAATTCCGTTACAATTAGCATTTGTGAGACGACAAATATTCGGTGTGGAATCTTGACTATTATTATTATTATACATATATGACTGATTTAATCTTATTGTGTATTTATATTTGACCCTAATAAATTACACAAGTACGGACTTGTCCTACAAGAATAAATGATTTTGGAATTTGAAAAAAAAGTTCGTAATTTTACGTTTTTCAAGTCGAAACGTGTGAATACAAACTACCAACTAACACCATTTATATTTGACCCTAATAGGTCAAATATAAATGCACAATGAGATTAAATCAGTCGCATATTATAATAATAATAAAATCTCAGGACAATTCACACAGCGCCATCTAGTCCCACGGTAAGCAGAGCTTGTGTTATGGGTACTAGACAACTGATATAAATACATAGATACATTTTTTTTTTTAAATATATACATATTATACGTAGAAAACACCCAGACCGATACAAGCAATCGTACAAATGTTTGTACCGTGCGAGGAATCGAACCCACGACCATCGCATTGTAAAGCGGTATGCTAAACCGCTAGACCACCGAGGCTGTATTTTAAAAATACATACTGATTATACAGATAAAACTTATATATAAAATTCTCGTGTCACAGTTTTCGTTCCCATACTCCTCCGAAACGGCGACCGATTCTCATGAAATTTTGTGAGCGTATTGAGTAGGTCTGAGAATCGGCCAACATCTATTATTCATCCCCCTAAATGTTAGGGGTAGTCCACCTCTAATTTTTTATTTTATTTTAAGGCAAAACAACGTTGCCGGGACAGCTAGTATTAGATAAATAGATACTGAAATGCCAAGTGTAATCATCATGAATACTTTAATACTCGTGCGTCAAACTTGAGATGCTAATGCGTTGCTTACAACTAGACTAGCTGTTCCCGCGATTTCGTCTACGTGGAATTTAACTTTATTTTTCTAAGATAAAAGTAGCCTAATTTACTCCTTATTATATCAGCTATCTGCCAAAAAAGTCGCGTCAAAATCGGTCCAACCCTTTTCAGAGATTAGTCTGAACAAACAGAGAGATAGACAAAAATTGTAAAATAAAAAATGTTGTTTTGGTGTATGTACCGTATATATATTAGATAGATAGATAGATAGATAAAAATTTTATTCACGTTAAAGGCACACACACACACAAAAGGCACTGTAATAATAAGAACAAAAATAAAACAGATACACACATTACATTAGTGAAGTCAAACAAAATACAATACACAACAATTATACAGATAAAATAAAATGCAATACAGATAACAAAAAACGGTATGAGTAACGTAGTGTGTGTGCATAGCCCATACGTAAAAAGGCAGCACCTCAGTGTATTGTTTGCAGCATACAAGCAGCAAACCAATGATATTCAGGCACTGCCCAGAGACATACGCGAGGACGCATGTAACAAGACCACAGCTTGTAATCAGCGCTATTACATTATCATAAATATTAATATATTAAAAAAAAAAACTATAATAAAACAAGAAATAGGTATAACATATAGGCATAAAATATATAGGAAATTATTATCAATTCATATAATAAAATAAATATGAAAAACAAAAGAGAAAATAGAAATATTGCATAGGAGTGTTAAGTGTTTAAAAGGAGTGTTGAGTGTTGAGTGTTGAGTGTTGAGTGTTGAGTGTTGAGTGTTGAGTGTTGAGTGTTGAGTGTTGAGTGTTGAGTGTTGAGTATTGAGTGTTGAGTGTTGAGTGTTACCACTATCAAGCAACTAAAACCACTAATCAAATATTGGGGAAAATGAAGAAATATATGTACATTATATGTATAACGGTTACAAAGACAAATCAACTTGACTTTTGTTCCTCCAACAACAAATCTTTTAATTTATTTATATTCATATGTATGTTGTAAAATGTTATTTAAATGTTACAAACAGACACTCCAGTTTTATTTATATGTATATACGTGTGTTTACCGTGCCTTATTAAATTTCCACAAGGTCTGTCGCCCGCATTAATTGTCGCAAGTTGTTAAACAATTCAGAATGGAATGCTTTGAAACCTCTGTGCCGTCCTTTTGTTATTGGAGCTTTCTAAATTACATCGCAACATGTTCAGACTTGTTTGTCGCGTTGCACGAGTTACTGAACTGAAAGAGAAGAGAATAGAATTTAAGTAATTTTTTTTTCGGACTACTCTAATGCTGTTGGCCGCAGCTGGCCTTTACAGCTTCACCGGACGTTAGCGGGCGAGTGCAGATGTCACTCCAAACCAAGGAAGGACTTAAATATTCTTTATTGCACTTAAATATATTTGTAAGTATATTAATTACAGCTAATGTTAACAAAGGAGGACTTATCTCTAAAAGAGATCTCTTCCAGTCAACCCAATAGAGCGTGGCATAGGAAGTGTTGAGTGGGTTAAAATGTGCAAATTATATTTTTTATGAAAATGTCAAAAATAATTAAAACTAAACATAAAAATATAATGTCCAAATGGACTTATGGAGCGGCTGAAGGCTCCTGCCTGACGGATACGACTTTAGTCTGAGGGCACCGCTAGGGGTTCGAACCTCGGCTCAGGCCGTCGTAATTTCGATCCCCGTTGGAATTGGACGGGGGATCGATCGAAGGGAACTGAAGTAATCTATATAGATTTTTTTTTATATCTCACAACAATTCACACAGATGGCGCTGTGTGAATTATCCAAGGATATTATTATTATTGTTTTATACA